TTTTCTAACACGTTCAACCTAGATTCATGAAGGCCTCGTATGTATGACAAGTGTACTCGATTTAATTTTGTCTACTTAGTGTTCGTAAGCATCGGCTAGATGTTGTTACCATAGATAGGTAGATAAATTACACGAACTATATGAACCTGGTTTGGACAATAATCTTTACCTGGGAACCTTGACCTCGAAAGACTAAGATCTAGAAAGCAAAAACCTCTCCTGATGATTTCACAGACGTTGTCCTTTCACTCTACCACAACCCACTTGTTTCCGTCACACTCGCCGATCCTCCACGACAGCGAAGGGCGGAATCTCTTCCCAAGGACTTTGTTGAGCCAGCGTTTGAGTCTGACATTCAAAATCCTATTCTTCGGGTCCGTTTCGGAAGCTCTCGCTTGTCAACCTCATGTCCGAGCCTCATGGCAGGCGCTCAACGACCACTCCATGGTCGTCGTTCTCGTCGAATTTCGTCGTGCCATTCTCACTTCCTTTTCGACTTGTCGAATCTTCTGCTTGAGCTTCTTCGAAACTGTAGATTATGAGATAATGATAATGAATATCGGAACCCGCCCGGCTAGATTCCGCCTGCCGCCCAAGCTCGCGCGTAAAACTCTTTGAATGATTCAAGTTCAAGTGTTTCTTTTGAGGGCGTAGGGGGTTTGCGTGCGTGAGTAGTCAAAGTTTGAGTCAGGTATTGAGACAAATTTACACTCGGAGGACAAGTTTTAGCGGCATAGTATGAACGGAAGAATCCGTTGACCGGGACGGATATGCGGGAAAAAGTTGACGTAGTCAGCCAATATTACTTCAACTTGTTCAGAACTCCCATCCTATCTCCGAATGACCTGATTCTCTAGACTATAAGAACTCTCCAAGAACATCTCAAGCGCCATCTTTCTGCTTCTTCGTACCAATCATCTCTGCACGATCATGGCTACTAGCAACGCATTGAACAAGCTCACTGGAAGCTTGTCCAGTATCCAGCTACCACCTGTACTCAGACAGCACGCACTTACTATTTCTCTGGCTGCCGGCCTCTCGATCCCTGTTTTCCATTGGCTTCCGCCGTAACTACTTGGAATGGCTTGCTATGGGTAAAGGCGGTCTACCCGCAAATGTCATCGGATGGACCATGAACTGGTTCATGTACCTGTTCAGCAAAGAGCAGCTCAGCACCGCACCATACGACGACCTGGTGGTTCTGGCAAACTCTGGACTTCTTGCCCAAACACGCTTTATCCACGGAGAACTGCCGCAGAGAAAGGGCACGCGTCCAGTAGTCGCGCCGTTCATTGCGCCCCAGAGACAGTATCCCATCCAGATCGATGAGAGGATCGTGAAGGTAACACAACCCAGCCTAGCTTAATCGCCACATAAACTAAAACGGACTTGATAGCTCGAGGAGGCCACTGTCGAAAGTATCGTGGCCGCCAATTCCAACATTCTGTGCATCCAAACTTCCAAGCTCGAGCGCCGCGGTCCTGCTATCTTCCTGCAGCCGCATATTACCGTTCAGCCCTGGAGCAAGGCAACCAACGGAGAACTTGCTCATTTTCATCTGACATCTGAAGGATCCGGTCACGTTCTCCTCTCTGCTGCCGATGCTAAGGAGGTGATTAGCAAGGGCTGGGGCCAGCGCCATGGCTTAAGTGGCGCAGGGGTCCCAGCTTCGTATGTGCTCCTGTATGCCCCCCGCGACGAAGAGGAGGTAAAGATTGCTGGAGAAATTTTCAAAGCTGCTGCGAGATGCGTGAGCAATGGCATGGAAATTGTTTAAAAGTGTGTGGCCACATTATTCATACATATCTATCCTTGTATCTGACCTCATCTATTAGTCTTCTTGCTTCGTTTAATAATTACATTCAACTCGGACATTGTGTTTTATATTTAAATACTTCTCATCTTCGTAGCATCGATGTCTTTTAATGTCTTTATTATATTTATCTACCTAGTGCCTTTACTAGCCTTGTTCTTATACTTACGGAAGGCTTCCCGATACATAGTACAAAAAGCAAAGCCATAGGTCGCTAGCCGTATTTAGATACAAGCTCTGATAAAATGACCATTTCATATAAGCACCATAAAGAGTCTTCGATGAGACGACACAATCATTTCTGTACTTCATCTAGAATTCAAATATTTTATGATTCAATATATAGTATGTACTTGTTTCGCGCGTCCTAAGACTAGGTATTCGTGAAGGCCCAGTGTACTGATAAAGAGTCGTTCAAGTGGCACCAGTTTTGGTTACCTGAAGAACACCCCGTCGACGAGCTTCCTCTGCTACCAGCTGTTCCAAAGCCTCCCTAGGCCTCACAGTCTCCAAAGTAATCCCATGAACAACTATTCCTCCTGGCTGTACAAGGCTCACTAAGAGTTGTTGCTTCGTCTTGATTTCCTCGTGGCGAAGGGACTTCGCCGAATAAACAATAAAATCTTTCGCCTACAACCCATACCACATACAATGAGTATGATAGAGCTCATGCGCAATGAACACTTACTGCATCTGGAAGAAGCTTGTAGTCCGACAATGCCAGTTGACTTGGCGAACTTCCACAGTATGCATATTCACCTACTAGCACATACAATTGCTTGGTGGTTTTACTTTCCCCGGGACCGCCCTCCATCACGAGAAAGGTGTTTTTCCAGTGTGTACTCAATTCTTTTGTGAGAAGCTCGCAAAGCGTATTAGCATCCTTTGAAACTGCAATCAAGGTTGCACCGTTTTGATTGTGCAAGTTGATGATTAGCTTGCCCCTGAGAGATCCTTGCAAGAACGTTGGAGAGTAACCGATAACCTGTTAGAATTATAACGCAAAGAATTTCAGCAATGTTACCATGCAATTTCGTCGTCGTTCAGCTTTACCTCGGAACATATTTTGTCCATTTGGGTTATTCTCGCGGGTGCTTTGGTCGGCAGCCCCGCAAGATTGATAGGGTGGCAAAGAGACATGGCTGAAACAAATTTATGTTGTAGGGGGTTTGCGGTAAGGCTCGAAGCAGTGTTCTGGAAAAATGATCTTTTCAGCACACGAATCCCCAATGAATAGATTTTCTACCCACCTCGCTGTTAACATGACTTGTAGGAGGCGGTAAGGACCCACTGCGATCATTGACCACTGGTGAGTTAGGTTGATCCACGATGGCACTCTAGAAAGTGCAATGGTTAGACTAAACTCCAGGACATAAATTACGAGTAGTAGCTCTTACCTTTGGAGAGTCAACGACATCTGCACTAGTACCATGAGTAGCTTGAGGTACCGGGACAGCAGCGGGAATTGAATCAGGTTGTCCTACGACCACATCTTTGAGCGACGTGGAAGGTTCATCCGCCAACAAAGCTGAATCATGCTTCTCGCCAGCGTCATACGAGTTGTTCGTATGTTCTTCTTTCACGTTACTATGAGCCGCAAGACAGAGGTTAGTCGCTGGGATTGTAAAAAGGAATACAGGTGTTGCGTACTCGGAATGAGCAGCTTGAGCCTGACTAGAAAGCTCCATAACCTTCTCTTCAAGAGCCTCATTAGCCTCTAGTGCTGCATCAAGATGATACTGGAGGTTGTTCGCGTGCGAGACAGCATCGACAAGATCCTGACGCAAAATCTCAACTTCAGAGTCATTATATCTGCTGAATTGAGATACAGGCTCTTCGGGGCTAACCAACGCATTAGTGGAATGCTAGCAAAATTACTTTGGGGATGATATAAAAAACATGAGGTAAGAGGACTAACTGGTGAATCGTGTGCTTGAGCCTCAGACGATTCCAAGTACGTCGGAGATGTTTTCGGTTGACCTGCGACTTCGATGTTGAATAAGCAGTTCCGTACATAATTATCTGTATCTTAGAGAACCATTCACCTTTGTCAACTCGTCATCAATGCTAATGCATATCTTCCTGTCCGTCCACTACTTCGGACTCGTTCCTGCAATCGAATCCAACTTATTCGAGTCCTTCAAATCAGAGTGATTGTCAACGAAACGATCTTGTGGCAGAGTCGATTCAGAGACGACGAATTTGGAGATCGAGTCTCAGAATCGACGAAACTCGATCCACAAAACTTTCGCATGCTTTCTCGAATGTTTTCTAATGACACCAAGGGAAGAATCGTTTTCGCGCTGCAGATTGACTATCACCGCTTCAAGGGACGAAATCTGCGTGTGCCTTCCACGAAAGGCATTCTGCATCCCTGACACATGTTGGTCAGTAGCACGAATAAGCTCGAATGCGGCTTGGTTGAGGTTCTGAATAATCATGAAAGAAAACAATTTGAGTGCTATATATCGACGCAGGGATCCAGGGTATCAATTAAGAAGCAACGTACCTGAGCCTTTTTCGAGCTCTCTTCGTACTCTGATCAGTTCTTCTCCTTGAAGATCGAACAATATCAATAGCAATCTCCTTAGCCAAAGAGACTTTAGTTTCGACATCGTTAGGGAAGGAAGGGGCTGGCATCGTTGGTCGTGGTAGCTGCATGGAAGAGAACCCTCAGGTCATATGAATTGGGACCCACTCCTCGAGGACTTTCCTAAAACAGTATCGGTCAGTTTGTTGTGATCCCATTGTTACCGGTGCTAAGGCGTTCGCTGGAATGATTGAAACTAGAAGAGCACGATCTGAGTAGGAAATGAACTAAATATGCGAAGTAAATGGACAGGCTCACGATGATGATGGAAAGAAGTGAGCCGGGGCGCTTAACAAGCCTGTATGCTCTGCGCTCGGCGGTGTACTTGCTTGTTTAATCACCCAATCCGAACAAAGAGATGCAAGTCGGTGCTTGGGTGCGAATTCAGCAATCCAAAGGCCAAAAAGAAACGGTACCAGTATCCAGAAATCTCCTTAGCTGGAGTGAAGCTCAGCTTCTTGAATCACACAAAGCTGAGAGGCGAAGGTACTAGCTAAGCAGTGTACTTCCAGGAAGTTACTTAATTTCCGTTTGAACTTGTGTCTGTACCTTTTCAAACTACAAAAACAACGTGCAAGGAAAGATGTTGTCCATTATCTCCCTGGCTGGGAGTCGAACCCAGCTTTCGCGCGCAAACATCCACCTTCCGAAATGACAAGCGCGTGTACTAACCGATATACTACCAGGGAGTTGTTCATGAGGTTTATTGGAGCTTGTTATTTCCTAATTGCGTACGATTGCCGTTCAGATCTTGGACCATGCCGTGTAATAAAATCTTCCTTCCTTCCTTCCTTCCTTCCTTCCCAATTGCTTTGACGAAGGCTTTCATCATCCAAGAACTCAATTTTCCCTCCCACCATAGTATTCCGCCAGTACGCGCGCGTATGTCCAGCTTTGACACCAGACGATGACATCACTCTGCCCCAATCGTCACCCGCCAAGAACACTTGCAGAGCTCCACATTTCGATGACGACTCCAAATCAACCTATGACGCTTTGGATTCACGCGCCTGAGGCCGAGACAGTATATAAAGCGATAAACTTGCTCGAAAAGGTCAGAATAAACACCCACAACAGCTATCAACCATAACAACTTACCTTAAACTAACTCTCATTCACAAATCATCATGTCCACTCCCACCTTTACCCCCTCCGCCGATATGGACACCGCCGCTGGTATCCGCCCAACACATCATGTCCACAGCTCCAACGACCCTCTTCCCGGTGCGAAGAAAGGCGTCAACGCCGTCGATTATAGCACGGAGACTATGGAACGGACGCCTAGCACTTGGAACGAGAGGACCGAGGAGCAGTTTGCTAGAGATCAGCCGGAATGGGACTCGGAAATCAGAGTGACATGGACTCGCACTCGCACACGCATTCGCATTCGCAGCTTGGTTCAGAGCAGAACCAGAAACAAGAGAGACATCACGAGGAACAACCGAACGTTGTTGGCGGGGACTTGCCTGGTCCTGGTATTGCTAGCGAAGAATCTAAATCTGGCAAGGCTAGTATGATGGATAAAGTTGTTGGGAAGACGCAGAAGGTGAGATCTTCTACTGCCATTGATATTGGACCTAATCGCAATTGTTTCATTTATAGGTGATCGGTAAAGCGACGCACAAGCCCGAGATGCAAGAGAAGGGAGAGGTGAGGGCGACCGCAGGGAAAGCATGAAGAAAGGGAGGCGATTGAAGAGAAATTTGGACTATTGAAGAAACCCAATGTATCATTAATCTGCGCTGCAGTGTATACCATTACAATATTCATCGATTAACGAATTGTTTCTTCTGTGAAATGTCGGGAATGAATCATTGAATGAGTCGTTCACTAGCAGCCATGGGCTGCTTTTCCATTAATCTCACTGAGTCCTCAGTTGTTCCATCATTTCCACTGCGGCCTCCGCCAATTGCATACTTGTACGACATGACAGTCGCGTTCTGCTTGCCTTCTCGCTGGAGTTGAAATTTCTAGCTAGGCATTTCCTTCAACCATTGGATCTCTTATTTCGTTACATCCTGTTCCGTATTCAGACAATGTGCGTGCGTAACAGTTCTGTCATCTTTGCGTTCGTTCGATTTGGAAAGGTCTTGCAGAAGGAGGCGGGAGGGAGACGAGAGCGTCTAGGATTGCTACTTACTATAGAATGGGTTGATTTGGCTAATGCAAAGGACCACCAAGCTCATTAGATGGCTTTATTTTCACTTCGGCTAGTGGAGTCTCTGGAAGGAGTTCCAGGCCAAATGGGCTGTGGTGTGAATTGGTTTGAAATAAATAACTATCAAAGAAAATTATCCGTTAGTACACGCGCCTGGGATTATATATCGTAGTTGTAGGTGGGACGCGCGATCATTGTCGACTTGCACAGTGAGAAGCATTCGATGCGCGCGCGCGTCAAAACTTTCGACGGTAATAGCAAATGACGTACGGGCTGGAATCAACAAAATCTGGTAGAATTATGGAAGCACCAAGCTGATCTATAAAATAGAGTATACCATTATTCATCTGTCACCCCACCAATAGTACTGATTTTCAATTTGAATCCTAAGCCTTCCAGATCGCTCCAAGAATGGAAGTTGCTCTCTGAGCAGCTCCATAGCACCACTTGGAACTTCACCGACGCTGCGGCTATATAACATGAACTCTACCGTTTCGAGTAGCGCAAACTCCGGCTTCTCAAACATTGCATCGATGGCAGACCAGTGACCCCACAGATGAGTGTTTACTTCGCCGGGTTGCTCGATTCCTAGATCGATGATTAAACGTTGTAAAGGAAACCTATTTCCGCCTTGGCTGAGGAAAGGTCTGAAAAGCGCCTGAATCTACAGGTACGGCGTGATTCACGAGTAATATTTGATAGAGATTGAAGCAAGTGGAGGATCCTTATGTTGGGTGTGTGTTCAAGATGGTTATTCGAAATCTAGAAAACACCGGCAATAAGGAAATTATCTGCAGAAAGAGTAATTGTGATGCACCTTCCGCTTTCGAAAATCCAACATTGATCTTTAAATTCCTGAGATTTCCGCCAATGTACTGCATCAGACCAATAATTCTTGAGTACGGGAAATGGACATAAATGTACAACGATTGTAGATTCCGAAACTTCAAATGGACACGAGTCCTGTAGAAACCAATCTATGAAGTGAGGATAATAAGCGAGCCTCACTTCTTCAAGGTGTATAGACCTCGGAGCAGTCGCTGCTATTTCCGTTGGCAAAGTCAAATCACCACAACCCACAGAGAGATCCAGGACCTTCAAATGCCTCGCACAAGCTAACAGGGACGCGAGTTCAGCGAATGTATCAGAGAACATCATTTGTTGTACACTGACAATCCTCTGCAATAGACTTGTGTCAGAGAAGGAGACTGAAATATTTCAGTCAATTCTGCCTTGAGTACAGGCGATAATGCGGTCCAATCGACGCCAACGAACGTGAGATCGTTCACTGTTGGAGAGCCATTGAACAACACTAGCTGTAGCAGCGTCTACCCTGGTCTCAGTAAACCAAAAGCCCCGAATCCTACAGGGACCGCACATATGATGCCAGACGGGGTTGAGCGTCGAAAGTGGCAATTAGTCGTTCAGTGGTCTTCAGATCTCCATCTATGTCCCGTGATACAAGAAAAATCGAGGATAGTTTGCCGGAAAATGCCACGCTGCGAAGAGCGAACCCAAGGTCTTCCAACGAGTGTGCATTTGAGAAGAGCAGCTATGTCAGAGTCAAGGTTGTCGATGATGGACTCTACCAGTTCGTTAGGTAGTGCTTGCATGATGAAAGGCGATAAATTCTGGCGCACGCGATCAGCTCATGAGCGCTTGTTCGCTTCTTGTCCTTTCATCGTCGAAATTCTATGAACTACAAAGTTCAAACTAGAGGCCAACATTCCTTCTCATCTCCCGCCCCAGCACCTTTACACGCCGTCTATAAGCTGCCAAATTGGAATAAACATCGAAGCAATGAATATTTTCTTCGCCTCAACCCATTTTGCTTCGTCTCACCAATTGTCTGAAATTGGTCACTGTTGGGTTTGGGAGAACGTCTACTCCTCTGATGTTTTTTCTATCTAAGAAATCGCTTTGTTTCTTATCTCTTGTATTCCAAACCGAGAGGGAAAGCTGCCGATGCTGTTTGGGATCTCAAGGAGGCTGGGAGCACACATTCAAGGATAGTTAGGAGGCTGCCATGGCGTCAGTGGGTGAAGATAAAAATGAAGCGGAGCGGATGCAAGCTTTGCACGCAGAATTGGCACGGTACGTTTATGAATCAATTTGCGTTTCCGCGTACAGTGATTGTTTTATATCCCTGCAGCCCACATCGATTCTCCGCCAACGAGTCTGGATGTCGCTCACAGTGAACTTATTCGCAAGCTTTTTGACATCAACAGCAAGATGAAAACATCTTCCCGAATGAAAAGAAAAACCTTCCTGGACACTTCTTCTACTTCACTTTGCCAACGCACAGGACGGACTTTGCGAGTCGCCAACTCGCCAAGGCAAGGCGGAGAAGGGAAGAAAGGGTACATTAGGCGTCACCAATTTAGCAAGGTTGGCAGTGAAGATAATGTTCGGTGATTGTGCTATTTCTGAGGAAACAAACGCTTGGCCGATGTGTTTTGTGGGCTCCTGTCAAAGGTCTTTGGTGGCTAGCCTATTCAGGCTCGCGCCATCATCATGCGCTCTCGAACTGCGGCTCTGAGGCTGGTACGAAAGGAAAGGCGTGTAGAAATTGCAGCAAGTGGTGATTAATGCTGCTAAGTTCCTGAAAGTAAAGCACATAACAGGCGATCAGGTATGATTTACCCTCTCCTTCCATTCAACACTCTAATATACATTTAGACCGTGTCGTCAAATCACTGCTTGGATTCTTGAGACTCCTGTAGAAGACCAAACCCTAATAATCATTGTGATGTTGGATAAATATTACAAATACCCTGGAGAAGATAAGAGGATGAGTCTGTGTCGAAGAAAGCTAGAGTTGACCAGTCGCAGAGTGAATTGTATGTTCGTCTTACTTTTGCTGTGAAATTTCTACTAAAATGTTCCTTAGTACTGACGTCTGGACCGGAGACCAAGTGGTCCATTCCAGACTTCCAGTGTTTGGCTATCCTGGCCGAGGTCTCGGCTAACTTCCCGTTACATCCAACACTAAGGGTTTGACTTCCTTTCGCATCTGCTAGAGACGCTATCTCCAGTCATCGTTAGCAGCTCTGAGTATCTTTCAATGAAACCGTTTCTTCGTATGTCAAAGTATCATTCATGTCCAGTATCGACGGGGTCGCTGCCGATGTTCATGATCCACATAAATACGTCTATCCGACTGGACGTACTCGCTGAGATTAATCCGTGTATCAGCCCATCCGGCGCAAACTTTTCAGGATTAGAACTTGGGTAGCAATGTCTTTATATCTCGGCAACAACCAGTGGACTGAAAGCACATTATAATGTCATTATCTTGCCTTTTGGATTGCTGAATTCTCGTTCAGGCCGATATCTGCGCGACTTCCCTTTGTTCACATTGGATAATTAAAGAGGCAAGTAAGCTACAGAGCTACGTTAAACGCTCGTGTATGGTGATGCCTATATTGCCTATGCCTTTAATTACTCTATTCAATTCATTTATAACCAGACCGTGCTCTTCCAATTTCAAGAATCCCAGCAAGCGCGCAAAGAAGCGTTACCGTCGGGTAA